ACTGCACGGTTGCTCCATGATCTTTCAAGTCCACAAAGTTTGGAAAATTTGTTTATTATTCAATGTAATAGAAGACAATAAAACAAAAATATACAAAACTAAATTTTGATTGTGCATGTTTGTCTTTTTTTCTTGCATTGTTCATGTTGGCATCCACTTTGGCATTTGGCATGCATACTTTAGGATTTGTTAGTGCATGGAAATTCTGCCTCTACTCATAACAGTCTTTGCATCAGCAGAAAAATGTGAAACATTTTTGAGCTTGAATCAGATCAATGAGTATCGTTTGTTTAAATGCCGAGTGATTTTTAAAACGAACTAAGTGGGGCAATAGAGAAGAACAGGGAGTGAAGTGGATAGAGGATACAAGTGATTTTTTTCATGTGTCACAATGCAACGCATATTTTCTCTTTTCTCTTGCATGACCACAGATGTTTCCGCAAAAAATTGTGGTCTATATTTTGATGCATTTTCAAAACCTGTGTCTGGGGGAATAGTAAACATGACGAAATTAGAAAAGACAATAATTTATCTTTCTTGCTGGTACTGATCATGTGCTTAACAGCAAATATAAAAATTGTTGACCTTTTTTTGCAAAAATGTATAAAATGTGTAAAATCCAAGGTTAAAGAAATTATAAGGTAATTGTGGTATTACAGAAACAATCATATTTGGTAAAACATTCAGCAAAATGCATAGACAACATTCGTGAACGCTAAATGAGATACTATAATTAGAACAATAAAGATTAAAAAATGAAACAAAGAGTTTCCATACATGCACGTTAACTGTATAACCACTACAAGTCGAAACCTTTTGATTATAAATCCTGTTTTACGTCCAAAAATACTGAAAGTTCATTTCCTGATAAAAAAACTTTTACCGAAGCACGATTCCAATGTCCTCAGAGTAAAAAAAACAACGCACCATTGTGTCTCGAACCGAAAGAAATTGAAACAAAAATCGATGGCGGGACGCCACTTTGTCGCACGAGCTCTGAGCTGGGGTCGGGCGACATCAAAGCCGCGACCCCAGCGCGCGACGCGGTGTGGCGTGGCGTGGCGTGGCGTTTCCCGAACAGATGCAGCACGCATCACGTCGTCGGGCGGGCGAGCGGGCTTTCTATAAAGCTGCAGTAATTAACCAAGCGACTTGCAACCGGGCGGACATGGCAGTTTAATTGCATTGTGCCCTAAGGGGGGGGGGGTGGAACGCGGTGTGCGAACCGTAGCGCCACCTCGCGCAGATTCTGCCAGGTTTTAAATAACCACTGCCGGGTTGGCGGCTGCGGCGCGGCGGTGCCCGCTGTTGTATATGGGAGCCCGGCGGGTGAGAGGGAGCGAGAGGTGAGAATCAATGACAGCTTTGGGGATGAGAGACAGAGAAAGCGAAAGAGAGAGATGGGGGTAGGAAACGAGGGGAAAAAACGGAAGCAGGCCACGTCATTAGAGAGTTTCTCCTTTCTTTCATTACGGGTCCCGCGGCAGCGGAGGGCGCGGGCAGCTCGCCTATCAGAATCAGAGCGGCGCTGCTGTGAAATCTCTCATTCTTCATTAGCGATTGTGCGTTATACGCACGCAGAAGCTGAGACGAGCGGACATGCAAGTGCGTGCGTGCATTACTCTCTAAATGAGCGTGCGTGCCGGTGTCCTTAATAAACAATTTCTTGTTCCTTACAAACATTTCACAATAAATGTGTTTCACTACGTTAGTTAAAACGACGTACTTTGCTTCTTTGTTGTAAGGTGTGGCCAGATTCTATTTTTATACCAAGAAAACGTTTAACCCTGGAACGTCTTCTTATGCGACACCCAATCGAAGTACCTATTTACATAGAGTAGCGTATTTAGATGTTCGGGCTTGGTAGTACTAGATAGCAGCAGGCAGTAGTCAAATATTTTGATTATATGACGTCAGAAAAGAATTGGATGAGTTGCGTCAAGGAGTTTGCTTTAATTTTTTTTTAAGTTATAACGATATTTTGCGATAAAAAATAAAACGATATTTTGCTAGGAAGGCAGTACTACAATATGGCCATCTCTAAAAATCTATTTCTATGTAAAATGTTACGAAATTTCAATAAAGTGACACACTTGAATGAACAATGTAACAAAAGTATTTGCTAAAAAAGTGTTATTCATGAAATTCTAAAACCTTATTCAACATAGGTTGTAAATATACATACATTACCGAAAGAAAGCGTTTTTCAATTGCATTCAGTGCACGTGGACGCAATGCAACGCATTATCAAAGTGCCAACAACCAAATAAACTCGTAATCGGCCTCTAAAATATACTGGGAATGGAGCATTGAAAAGGTCAGAGCGACTAAATAATACGTTGACCTTCCAGGAACACGAACGTGCTATAAACAAAACATAGTAGCTAGCTGAAGCTCTAATCAAATTCAGTGGGGGACCAGAGAAAATGTAATTGGTACTCACAAAACCAGTGTAATGAACACGCACACAAATAATACAAATATTTTACTGTAATCTACACCTATATGATCCGCATTTGCAAATAGTCATGTTTTGAATGGAAAATGCCAGTGTTTTAGTTGGTGTGAAAAGAGTAATTTCATAGCTATTATGGAGAGAAAAAACTACCGAAATGCCATTGGTTTTATGATTCGCTCATAATGTAGTTAGCTAGAATTAATAAATTTCCATAGAATTATTCAATAGCTGCAGGTAACGTATGATATAAATCGCAACACTAGCAGAAAATTATTCGAAATTAATTTAAATATGGAATAGCAAATATGTGGCTTCTGAAATATAGATGAAACTGAATTTCTTTAAAAAAAAAACATTAATTAAATGAGTGATACAGTTTTTAGAATACAATGAAATAGCAGTAATAATAGCAGGGGTAATTTGAGAGGGGTACATGACATACAGTTGATGCCCATATGATAATTAAAAATAACGATTGATACACAAATAGCAAATGCAAATGTGAACAATTTACTTACATGACCAAGAACTTTATTTTATTCCACACTGTATCGAGGTACTATATTGTCACGTATAAAATCCATTCAGGATTGAGGATTTTCTTTAAATTGAATTGAAAATGTTCGCCTTCTGACTTCCATCTACGAAAAATAATTACCTCATCCAAGTGATGCAACCAAAATAGCAAAGATTTTAAAAATTTATTTAGCGATGTAGCTTAATGACCATTCAGGAAGGGTAAGTAAGGCTTATAGTTAAAAAATCACAGTATACTTGTATTGCTTATTTTCATCTAACAACGCGAAATTTTAATGCAAGCTTAATGTTGTATAAAGACATTTTTTAAGCAAAGTGTCGGTTCGATTAATCATTTTAATACCCTGCCTACGCACGCCCTCCATCCACCAATGATAGGGCACTGCTCCCCACCATGAGGTCACAACATGAGGTCACCGCTCCCCCACCTCCTGACCTCTGGCACAGGGTTTAGACAGAGTGTAAGCACTCAAAACCTCTTATACGCGTGCGGCGAACAGTTTTCTGAGAAGTTTTTTTTATCGATTAATTTATCTGTCAGGACGCATCAATAGCTAAGGTCGTTAGTCCCTTAAATATAGTGTATGTGTTTATCGCGGGAGGTGGCGGTGAAACTCGACGAACCCGTACGTAGGTCGGCACGAGATCTCGCCAGCCAGCCATGGAACAACACCACCACCTCTCGACATAAAAAAGAATATACGAGTGTTATACTTTCGGGAGTAATGACTTAGCAGAGGATGCGCCCGGAATTACTAATCAAACAATTAGAATTAATATTCCGCCATCCGCTGACTGTCTTTAGGTTTTAATTATAAATTATTAATATTAATTATAATAGTAATGATTATAAATCATTCCTATTTGTACCTGGTACATAATTATTATAACTTATATCAATTTCTTTTACTTAAAATCTACAAATTAGAAAAAAATGTGTACTTTGGTTAACTGTTTTTTACACCTAAATTCTAAAGTTAGAATAACCATTTTATTTAGCTTACAATATTTCCTATTTCATGTTTTAAAAGTCCTGAAGAAGAGGTAAAAAGTGCTCCTTGAAACGTCGAGAGATAGTAATTATTCAGAAATTTATAAAAAGCACAAAAAATTCCAAATCTAAATTATGTTTTTTTTATATTTCGGTTTTCAAATGTATGATAATAGACTGTCTAAAATAAAACTGGACAAATAAATTTAAAAAAAAATCCTCGCTTCGAAACATTTTTCGCCACGGGGACCGCGCCAAGGAGAGGCGGGCGGGCGGGCTTGGGCGGTGCAGGGCTTGCGGAAGCACGTGGCCCAGCGGCGGGCAGGGGGTGGCGAGGGGTCACAGGCGTGGGTCAGCATTGATTGCATCGGCCTCAACTGTTATCCCTCCCGCCCCCCTGGATTAACGCGGCGGGCAGGGAATAAATGAGAATCACCATTTGCATGCTCCCTGCCACTCCGTGACGCGATTCGCAATTCGCTTCCGACAACAACCTCTTTGGAGGGAGAAATGCAGGGGTCGCGGCGGCTCCCTCAGAGTCTGACTCTACACAAACTCTCTGCTTTCAAGAACTCACGAGTCGCAGCACACAGGTTTACATTTTTATTACTGACATTGGTAACAATTGCAAATTCAGAAATAATAATTACAATTTTTGCGGGAAATTTCTTATCAAGTAAAATACAAAATGTTTGGGTAAACGAAAAAGTTAGGTATAACACTAAATTAAGTTTTACTAATGCTACTAGAGAGGTGTACAAAGTTATGTGATTACAAAGTTTTATTAACTCTGGGAATAAATATTACTTTGTAAGTAATATTAAATAAAGATATCTCACTAATATTGTTAAAATCATATGCTAAGAGTGATTTTCCGCGGTGTTTTAGAACATGAGAATCTTGACGCATCCGTAACTTAAATAGCTTTACGTGTTTTTTGTTATAGCATTGAAAATATGTGCAAAAACCAATGCCCTGCAAAGTTCTTGAAGTAAATTAGAAAGAATTCAGACATTACCCACTGTTTGGGCCGACTAAACTTTTAAAAATATATTTTGATGCCTACTTATTCAGATTAAAATGTATTCACACAATTTTTTGTACAATAATAATAATAATAATAATAATAATAATAATAATAATAATAATAATAATAATAATAATGCAAAGTATACCGTAAGTATGTAAACCTGCATGATCACGTGTGTGGCATTCTTTATCTTACTTTATATATTTTATTCAAAGGGTATATGATGTAGTAAAAATGAAAATAGATCAAAGCACATATATCAAAATATATAAACAAACAGTTTTAGCTTCAAACGCGTTTTACTTTCATTCTGATATTTTTACAATAATGTACATTTTCTACCGCAAAAAAAAAGAATTACCACGTGTAAAGGTTTCCCTTCTTTTTGATAGCAAATCATTTTTTCAGTGGCAAACTCTCTCTCAGAACTTTAAAGCATTTATTTTTCATGGCAATGCAAATCCCGATTGACTGGCGCTAAACCTGTAGTCATACATTATTTCAAAAATCTCTTCGCCGAGCGGGCGGGGCAGCTGGACTGCGCTGTCAATCACGCATCAGCTCCGCGTCAACGCGCATTTCGAAAAAACCCAAGCGCTTCCACACGCTTCCACCCGCCAACAGCAGAAGGGGCGCGGTTTGGCGCGCAGTGCCGTGCGCGAGGCGTGGCGCGGGGCGGGGCGGGGCGCGGGGCGGGGCGCGGGCGCGGGCCGCGGGGCGCGGGGCGGGGCGCGGGGCAGGGGCGCGGGACGGGCGCGGGGCGGGGCGCGGGGCGGGGTGGCGGGGCGGGGCGAAGGGCGGGGCGGGGCGGGGCAACAGTGCGGGGCACCAGTGCCGGCAAGTGCGGGGTGCGCAAATGGGCGGGGCGCGGGTGCGGGGGGCGCGGTGCGGGGGCGATGATGGACGGGTGGGGCGGGCTGGGCGCGGGGCGGGCGGGAGAGGCATGGGGGCGGGCAGAGAGAGGTGGGTGGGGCTAGGCGAGGGGAAATGTATGTCACAAAATTGAACGTGGAGGACGTGGCGGTTCGGAAACACACGGAACAGGGATGAGTGGGACGGGGATGAATGGAACGGGGTTGAATGGGTCGGGAATGAGTGGGAAGAGGATGAGAGGGACGAGATGAGTGGGAGGGGAATGAGTGGAAGGGGATGATTGAAACGAGAATGTGTGGAACGGGGATGAGTTTGAATGGGAAGATTATGACGAGGATTAGTGGGAAGAGGATGAGAGATCGGGAATGAGTGGACGGGGAAAATGGGTTGGAAATGAGTGGGAAGGGGATAAGTAGGACGGGTATGAGTGGGTCGAGGATGAGTGGAACGGTGATGTTTGGGACGGGGATGAGTGTGGAGGGGATGAATGGGACGAGGATGGGTGGGTCGGGGATCAGTGGGAAGGGAATACGAGGGACGAGGAGTGGGAAGGGGGTGCGTGGCACGGGGATGAGTGCGACGGGGATGAGTCGAAAAGGGATGTGTTGAACGAGGCTGATTAAAGGACATCGATACGAGCCGCCTTAGTCGCGTTTCTTCATCGCGATCGTGCAAGTTAATCTGTTGCGTTTGGGAATTTTGGTTATGAGAGATTTTTCTAGTTAACAAATAAACCAAACCATTCTGTGCATACAATTACTACAGAAATTGTAGATTTTAATATTACAATAATGCAAAAAGCGAGTAGACTCCATTAAAATGCGAGCAATGGTTTTTATTAATCATGAAAATTAAATTTGTTATGAAATATGTTTTTCCATTGGTTATTTGAATCATATGTAAATCATGCAATACTCCATTTCATTACGTTTAATACTTTACAACATTATGATGTTTATATGAATGAAAGTAAGGTTGTATACAAACGACCAAATTTTCGGGCCAACCCTTACACTTCATTCCATATGGATAATAATGGTATATAATTCTTTCTGATATTATAAGTCTACGTTTAAACATAGCCATTGTTCTTAAACAGGAAATTAGCACATGAGAGACGTTTACAACATGTAAGAACCACGTAAAAAGCAACCAAAGAGATGTGCATTCATTGGTAAGTAACGACACAAAGGATTTTGATAATTATTTTTCCGGTCGCCCCTCGTGTCACGCATCACCAGAGACCGATTATAAAACATTAATTTGAATAACATAATTATGAATAATTTTAATCATATCGTAAATATTGAGTTAATTAATGCGAATATATAACAGGCAAACCAGATAATCGATAAAGAACCGGGACAGATTTTTACATTAAGTCCCTGTTTACTTTCAATGCAAGCTTTTCAAAATTTAGCATTTTGATCGGAATTCATTGAATCCACAGGGTATTAACAAGAGCTGATCTTCTCTCTTCACTCAAAAAAACGTAACCATTGATCAGATGCTAGGTTTATTCTATTACGTTTGTGAATAAAAGTTTGGAGTGGTTGAAACTCTGGACGTTGTTCGGTGTAAGTTCCGTTGCTGATATTTCACACATTTAAGTGACTGGAGAATTTTAGAGGTGGTCTAGAACTATCCGTCATGACCGAGGTGTTCTGTGGCTTGCCGGAACAAAATCTAAAACGATAGGCAATGTATGTCACCCATCATTTGAGCCGAGCGACACGCTGGTCTGAAGGACACAGGTGTCTACTAGCGGCCTGCAGTAGCATAAATGGTGAGACAAACCACACAAAATTATTTTCTAAAAAGGAGCACTCACAATTTTTTATGGCAAAAAATAAAATGCTCTCGTGTAACATCATAATATATTAAATATTTTAACAAAAATAGTCTTCACGGGTAGTGAAATAGCATGAAAATGAAAATAGAGAGTACAGCAGTTTTTTACACTTCACTAATCCCAAAAAATTGGTTATTCCGTAACGCAACATGTGAATAAGAAATATTTATTGTCGGGCTTTTCTGGAGCCTTGCCGTTGTAAGACGTCTGTTGTATCGTACGTAGTGACTCACTGAATATTAGATTTCAGCCGTTATGCGCAGTATAAGAACAGGAGGAATAACACAATCAAACATTTACATTTTTTCAGTCAAAATCGAAACTGTTTAATTGTTTTTGGATTTGTCTCGTGTACCTACGTGCCTCAGAAACTAATAAAAGCTATCATATGGCTGGAGATGGGGTGGTTGTTTTTTAAATTTCTGCGCACATGGAAAATAAGTAACATATATCGATTTAATGGCGGACGATCTTCCTGTTCCTTATAGTCTTGGTGTTGCATGTCGTCAGCTGTGTTAGATTAGATTTATTAATAATTCTGCAATTAAGTGTGAGAACTTGGTGGCAGAATACACTAACTTAACATTACAGAACTAACAACTATACAAACTCTACAAACGTTAAAATATCACATGAACATTTCACCGTGCAATCTTTCATAGAACTCCACTTCACCAAACTTCACTTCACTACACTTCACCGCACTGCAATACAGGGAGCTGTAATGTCTTTCTTACTCACTCGATTCTCTCAGTTGCACAACGTCCCTGCACTTCACGGCGTTGTGAGCAGTTAAGCACGAAGTAGGAGAATTCTGTTGATATCCTCATTACGAGAATTCACACATTTATTAAAGCAAATATTTTAATTTTTCAGTCAAAATCGAAACTGTATAATAGATTTTAGAATTTCCCGAGTTGTTGGACATAACATACACACTTCTCTCATGGCAGGAGACTGCATAATCTTCTTTCCATTTATGCATGCATTGTAAATTAGTAATGTATAATCTATTTTTGCAATAGTGCGACCACGACATATTTTAAAAAGGCGCGAACTAAGTTTGCAAACCATACATGAAAGTGTTGGGGCTTTTACATCCTCTTATCCAACATGATCTGGAAACGACTTCGCAGGCGCCACGAGCGCGCGTATGTCATGCCCAAACCCAGGTAGCGTTAGAGCTCCAGAAGGGAAGACCCACGACAACAGGGCGAGCGTATTCCGAGGCGCAGCGCCCTGTCTTCTATGCGAGAGATATAGCCGTTGTTTCACCGCTGCGGCAAAGAAGACACGGGCCCTGAATCATCTGGCGCTACGGGGGCGCGAACCTTCTCCGGAAGAATAGGCGACGCCTAGTTGCATAAGTGTTTACCTCTTTTTATGTGTTTACCTCCTTCCGTGAAAATTCCCGAGATAAAACTTAGTTTAGAGGTAAATGAAGAGCAATGAAAGAGAGTTGCTGAATAATCTCACATTTTTAGTATCATATCCCCCCCCCCAAAAAAAATATTGGGAAAAATATCAATAAGACTATTCGCCAACAATATCTATCAATGATGTAACCTCGAGTGTCCACTCACCTACAATATCTTTTTTTAAACACTTGTATCAGGAGTACTACAGGTATAACCTGCTTAAGGTTTCGAGGATGTAGGAATCATTTTTCAATTCTAAGGGGTATTTCTATGTGGCCTTATTACTCGTATGACTTTGGAAATGGGGTGAAGATGACGTGGTAAGCGTCATGCTTCAGACGTATTCTTATCACCTAATATTTACTGTTAATATAGGCAATAAATACTAGTACTCACAGAGGGCAGAGTACCTACAATATCTAGGTACGGTAAATCTAAGAAGTCAAGAAAGAAACGTAAGCATTTGTAACAATAAAGCAACAGCGCATGAGGTGGCAACTCCACTGCGCCAGGCATGGCGACGACGTGCGCCCCCACGAGCTACTTCTGGCCTGCGAAGGCAGTCGTTCCTGCAACCACATCCACTCCTCACTCTTGTTTTCACTAACCCCCCCCCCCACCACCACCAAACGCAGGAAGAGGTGTTCACGCGCAAGCTAAATGTAACTTGAAATTAACTTCTCCCCATAGCAATTCACACACAGTTTGTAACAGTTTTTGACGTAAATAAATAAATAATAAATAAATAAATAAATAAATAAATAAATAAATAAATAAATAAATAAATAAATAAATAAATAACATAACATAACATAACATAAGCTATAGGGGCACGAGGTCTGCCGTGGTTACACATGAAAATGTATTTGTCATATTTATTTTATCACAAAAACGAGATTTGAATTTTGATTATATTCATTACTATTTTTCCCATATAAAAAATAAAATTAGTTCGAATCTAGGTGAACCAAATTATGGAAGTTCGAATCTTGTTATAATACTACATCATCTGATTATTCACCCACTTTGACAAGGAGAGTGGAGTGGAGGATTGGAAGTCACAAGCAGTTTACGTAAGAAGCCGTAACCGAAAACAGAATTCCGCATCCAATTAGTGCTCTCCGTGAGAATATGTCACTGAAAAAATAGGGTACGACATTCCACACCTGCCTCAAAAAATAACTTTTTCTAGAAGTAAAAGAGAAGGAGGAGAATGAAAAAGGAAGAAGAGAAGGGAGTAAGGGAAAGAAGAAGAATAAAAAGACGAAGAAGAAAAAGAAAGAGGGAAATGAAAAAAGTAGGAAGAAGAAAGAAGAAGAAAGAGGGAGAAGAAAAAGGAGGGAAAAGAAGAAGAAGAAGAAGAAGAAGAAGAAGAAGAAATGAAGAAAGAAGAGGGAGGATAAAACGAGGAGGAAGAAGAAAGGGACGAGGAGGGAGAAAAGAGGAGGAAACAGCAAAATCAATAAATATGACTCCCATTTGGCACCTCCCTTGAAGATACATCAGTCAAAGAATAGGGTACCGCATCACAAGCATCTATGAAGACGACATTTGCCTCGCTGTGTGTGGGGGAACCGAAGAGGCGGCGGAGGAGGGGGCAAGCGAGGCCCTGGGGGACGTTCGCGCCTATTAGCGCTCTGCAGGGGTGGGACAGGGGGATCGTCCCAAACCATAAGCGCTTACAGAGAGAGGGGGACGGGGTGGGGAGACGCTCGCGATATTAACGGTCTGGTCCCCCCCCCACCGTCCTGTCGCCGCCTTCAAGCCTTTAAGCGCCTACCCTGTTATATTACGACAATGCGTGGAAAGCCGTGTCAGCGCTGCCCACGTCACAACAGCACAACGCGCACGCGCCTTTATTGGACCAATTGCTCAGGGTTCATTTTCTCAATTCTCTCCGTGTGTGTATTCCTCTCGCCGAATATTTTCTCTCACCTAGATTATTCTACGGAATATATAAATAAAATATACAGAAAATTAAGCTTAAAATGTTTAAAAATGACAATCAAATTAGTAAAAAACAAAAACACAAAAGAAAAAAAAAACGATTTTGACAGTAACAAATGGAGATGAGTAACGTGAAGAAGATGGAAGAAGACGGGCAAAGAGGAGATCAGAGCGTGGTCGAGTCGGAAGCGAGAAAAGTCGGTGAAGGCGATGCGGGGGCAAGAGGTGAAGCAAAAAGAGCACACATCCCAAAGAGACCCCCATTTTGCCAATGCAAACTCGAAATAGAACAGCACGCAGCAGACAAAAGGTGACCTACTGGAAGAGCGAGCTAAGGAGCCGAAGGGTGGAAAGCGAGGAGCCATAGGGCATGAAGAAGGGGTGAGGAGACGGAAGTCGTAGGGCGGAGAACGGGGAGTCGTATGGCACGGAGCGGGGAGTCACAAGGCGGTGAGAAGGTAGTCATAAGGTTTGGAACGGCGAGTCACGTGTCAGGGAACGAGGATCGGGGAGACACAGGGCAGGGATCGAAGATTCACAGAGTAAGGTGCGGGGAGTCGATTGGCAAGAAGCGGGGATCGGAGAGACAGGGCAGGGATCAAGGAGTCACAGGGTGGGGAGCGGGGAGTCGTATAGTAAGGAGTGAAAATCGAGGAGAGACAGGATCGGGGAATCACAAGATTGGGAGCGAATAGTCGTACGGTATGAAGCGGGGAGTCATAGAGCGGGGAGGGGGAAGTCTTAGAGTGGAGATCAGGAAGGCGTGTGGCAGGGAGTGGGGAGTCACAGGGTGGGAAGAGGGAAGTCATAGGGTTCGGAACGGAGTCATATAGCAGAGAATGGAGATCGGAGAGACACAGGGCATGGTTCGAAGAGTCACAGATTGAGGGGCGGAGAGTCGTATGGCAAGGAGCGGTTCTCGGGGAGACACAGGGAGGGGATCAGGGAATCAGGATTGTGAGCGGGGAGT